ATAGCAAACCCAAACTCTTGGGCTCAGGACATCCTTTTGCCTCAGCCTACCAAGTAGCTGGGACCACAGGCACCAGCCATAACACTCTGCTGTTTTTAGATACGGGGGGGGGGGTCTCACTCTTGCTCAGGCTAGTCTAGAACTCCTGAGCTCAAGCCATCTACCCACCTCGGCCTCCCAGAGTGCTAAGAGTACAGGCGTCAGCCACCATACCCAGCCCATTCCAAGCATATTTTTTCATGTTATCTTTATACAGCCACTCTTGTTTTTCAAATTCTGTGTGTATTTTTTTATTGTTTATCATTTCTATTAATTTGCTTATCACAGATCTTAAATTTTACCTACGTTGCCTGTCTCTTTTTTTTTTTCTGAAACCCCCTTTTATGGGATATTTGTTAAGATCTTAAGGCAGTCCACATTGTTTGTTGCTTTAAAAAGAAAATAGTGGCTTGGTGGCTGTAGCTCAGTGGTTATGGTGCCAGCCACATACACCGGGGCTGGCGGGTTCAAACCCAGCCTGGGCCCATAAAACGACAATGACAACTACAACAAATGCCCATACAGCTGGGCATTATGGTGGGTGTCTGTGGTCCCAGCTACTTGGGAGGCTAAGGGAAGAGAATCGCTTGAGCCCAAGAGTTTAAGGTTGCTCTGAGGTATGACGCCAGGGCACTCTACTGAGGGCGACATAGTGAGACTCTGTCTCAAAAAATTAAAAAAAAAATAGTTACTTGGAAAGCTCTTTTTTTTTGAGACAGCGCCTCAAGCTGTCCCCCTGTGTAGAGTGCAGTGGCATCACAGCTCACAGCAACCTCCAACTCTTGGGCTCAAGCAAATCTCTTGCCTCTGCCTCCCAAGTAGCTGGGACCACAAGTGCCCACCACAACGCCTGGCTATTTTTTGGTTGCAGCCATCATTGTTTGGCAGGCCCGGCTGGATTCAAACCCGCCACTTTAGGTGCATGTGGCTGGCGTCTTAGCCACTTGAGCCACAGGCGCCGAGCCATTTGGAAAGCTCTTAAGAGTGGCCAAGTCTGGTTTGGCACCTGTAGTTCAGAGGCTAGAACTCCAGCTACATATGCCGGAGCTGGTAGGTTTGAGCCCAGTGAAGGCTTGCCAAACAATGACGACTACAACAAAAATATAGCCAGGCTTTGTGGCGGGTGCCTATAGTCCCAGCTACTTGGGAGGCTGAGGCAAGAGAACCGCTTAAGCCCAAGAGTTTGAGGTTGCTGTGAGCACCACAGCATTCTACCAAGGGTGACATGGTGAGATTCTGTCTCAAAAAAAAAAAAAAAAAAAGAGTGACCAAGTCTTACCTACCATGAAAGTGTGTGGTAGGTAAAACAACTGCCAAGTTTTTATGACAAAGTGAGAGTTGTGGTTCCGTAGGGTCAGAGTAAGGGAATTTACCATTGGTCTCCTTGTTTGTCAAAGGTAGGTTGCCACCATATACACACTCCAAACCACAGAAAGGAGGGAAGCCAAGGTCTTTAAGGAGAGACCCCAGAATTGTACATACAACTTGTATTCACATTCCTCTATCTCAAACTAATTATATGGAATATTAAGCTACAGAGAAGACTGAGATATGTGGTCTGCAATTATATGGCTATGGATCTAGCTAAAAATTTAGGAGTGGCTCAGCACCTGTAGCCCAGTGGTTAGGGTGCCAGCCTCATATACCTGGGCTGGCAAGTTCAAACCCAGCCCAGGCCTGCTAAAAAACAATGACAGTTGCAACAACAGCAACAACAAAAAATAGCTGGGCATTGTGGTGGGCACCTGTAGTCCAAGCTACTTTGGAGGCTGAGGCAAGAGAATCACGTAAGCCCGGGAGTTAGAGGTTGCTGTGAGCTGTGACGTCATGGCACTCTATGGAAGGTGACAGTGAGATGCTATCTCAAAAAAAAAAAAAATTAGGAGGCTTTATTGTTAAAAGAAATAGGAGAACATACACTGGGATGGGAGCCAAGAGATATAGCTGGTGTTTTTGCCAGGTAGGTGAAAATAGAGAAACTAGGAACAGCTAGAAAGGGAAATTAGCTTTTGATATAAAATGTGAATAAATTGCCTTTGTAAATTAGAAGTGTTTTTTTTTTTTTTTGAGACAAGGTCTCTGTCTTACATAGCGTAGGAGTACAGAGGTGGGGTCCTGGGCTCAATTGATCCTCCTGCCTCAGCCTTCCAAATAGCTGGGATTACAGGGTCTGCTTTTGGCTGATTTTTCTATTTTTTGTAGAGGTAGTGTGTCTTCCAAGCTGATCTCAAACTCTTGGCCTCCAGTGATCCTCCTGCCTTTGCCTTCTAAAGTACTAGAATTAAAGGCATGAGCCATGATGTCCAGCCAACAGTTTTA